TTTCTACGTATAGATTTTGTTTTTTGGTATTCTTTCTGATAATCTTATTTGTTTAATTAAAAAATGGGTCAAAATAACTCTAAGAGATTAGTTAAATATTTTGTAGGGAAATTTTATTTAAATTTTTTTATACTGAAAATATCAACATATATCTATTGATTGATGGTAGATAAGACTAGAATGAAATTTAAGTCAAAGGATATAATGATACATAATTTTTTATTTTAGCAGAATATATAGTTATTAATTATTTGACATATTTTAATTATTATTGTAGAAAACGGATAAGTCTTTGAAAATATTAAAAGAGATTGTTCCTTCTATCGTCTACAATCAACCAAATTTCGTCATTTATCAAATGTTTACAGAAAAAAAGCTAAACTGTATAAACTCACCTCTTGCTTGTTTAAACAGCTATATTTATATTCACAGCACAACCAACAACATATATTTAATAAATCAAAACACAATATTATTAAGTTAATCTATCGTTTAACAACACACACACAACCCAAAGCGTCCTTCCGCTCGCACGTCCGAGCGAGTACTGAGGGCGGGAATGCGGTGGAAGTGATTTTTTAAAAATGGAACCGTTCGCCCGCCGCCGTTAATAGGGTGCGAATTTTGTTTTCGCAGAATCTTTGTTAGTTTGAAATCTTTAGTGTACCGACACAGCTTTCAGCTTAGGAAAATGGTTCCTACATTTCGTGCATTCCTCTTTTTACTTTCAGGAGAGATTTATTTAGATTTTTTCTTATTTTAACAACTACACAGGGCTTTGTTGAACGGCTGTGTAAAGGTTATTTGCGAAGGGAACAATTTAAACTGTTGGGATTACGTTGAAGAGCGAAATTTTGTGATATATAGGTTTTAATTAATCCACAACGTAGCTGTTGGTTGAGCTGAGCATTTAACATATATTTTATACTTCACAGAATTGTATTTACATATAAAACAAACGACATTTATATTTGAAATTAATTAATTTTAGACCATAGTTGTAAAACGATCTATTTATTGTCAATCCTTTCCTTTTCATTGTATGTACGTAATAATAGTCACACTAATAATATATTTTGTATGTAATGTCATGTCATTACACACACAGTTGTCATCAACACGTTTTTCTTTCCCGATACACTATTACGGTACCAGGTGCTACATTAAATATTATATGACATATACGATGTACAGACAAACGTACAATTGTTTTTAATATATTACTTATTAGTTCTTTGTAATATATTAAGATTATTATATAGTACTTATAATTTAATAACGAAATATGTTGTTTTATTTTCAAGTCAGTGGTGGCCTAATGGTTAAATGGCCTAATGGTTAAGCGCGTGTTCGATCCTGGCCCGGGCAAGTAGCAATGTGATTTTTCCGAGTCATAAGTATGTACTTTCTAAGAGTATTTAGACATCACTGAGAGACGGTGAAGGAAAACGTCGTGAGGAAACCTGGACTTATAATTTCACAATTATAAGTTTGAAATCACCAACCCGTCTTGAGTGAGCGTGGTGATTAATGTTCAAACCTTCTCCATGTGAGAAAAGACCTTTGCGTAGCAGTGGGCTCTGATAGGCTGATGATGATGATGACGACGACGATTTTCTATAATCTTTCGCCTTCTTTTAAATTAAAATTAAAATGATATACATAAAAGTTAAATAATTTTCGGCAAGCTAGAATCGAACCCAAGACCCCTAACGTCTAATATTCTTTTGTTCGCGGAAACGTTTGACTGAAAGGACTTTTTTAATTGTAATTATTATCACTAGATGACAGTTCGTAGTGAAACAAAGTTAATATTCTTGATCCCAGCCGATTAATAAAATATCGTAGAGTCAAAACAATTTTTTAAATGAATGCTGCCAGCACTATAAATATGATATTTCTGTCATTTATTCTATATTATACTTCGATATAATTATTTGTGTCTCCTCACTCGTTAGTAACACAAGCCGTCTGTTTGTTCAAGTGTCCGTGGCTCGTGGCGCGTGGCCCGTGGACACAACACACTGTATATACAAATGTTTCACTCTATTTAAAACTGAATCTATCATTGTTGTGGTATTGTATTCAGATAGACACGGAATTGGCTTTATATTATAATAGAGAGATCGTGTGATTTGAGAACTAATACAGAGATTGGAAGATGTACAGTAAAGGTTCTTCATATAAATAAAAATACAATATTTTGGAGCCAAACTCCATGTATTTTAGATTACTTTTTTCTGTTAAAAACGATTATCCATATACTTGTGTGTATATAAACAATCATTTTATATATACACTCGAAATACACAACCCTTTTCTTTCGCAATCGAGTAAGAACTCAAAAGAATAAGCTTATAAGTAACAAACCTCTCATGTAGTATCAGTTTTCCTCCAGGCCTTGGGACACTTGACACTAAAGCATCTTCATTTTCACCAGGTTGTTTAAAAGAAAGTACTTAAAATTTTTCGGATATACTACGAGTTCTTTATTTTTGTAAAAAACGCCATACTCCCGACGTTTCGGCTACTTTTCAGGTCCTATGATCACGGACAGACGAAACTTACGAATCCTTATAATATTAGTTTCATTTAAATGAATAAAACTCGAATAAGTCTTAAATCTCATTCACCAGGTAATGACAGTTCCTGACTCAACTAACATTAATAATCTTATTTACTATTATAAAACTATTATCTAATATAAATTCTTATTATTCATCTTCTTCCTGACAACCTCCCAGCTTTAACCACAACCTAAATTTATTATCAATATTTAATTTCAGTTCTTAATATTATCTATATATATAAAAAAAAGTCGTGTTAGTTACTGCACTTATAACTCAAGAACGGCTTAACCGATTTAGCTGAAAATTGGCAGGGAGATAGTTTAGAACCAGGAAATTCCAATAGGATACTTTTTATCCCGTTCGACAGCATTCCTGTGGGACTTGACATGAAACGTCAGTTACTATAAAACGTGGAATAACGAAACACAATTGATAGCTATGCAATTGACGTATAATGACAGATATGTAATGAAATATGGATGACAATTAGATATTTGTAAGAAATCTACTATATAAAAATAAGTTCGGTTTTCAATCCTGACGCTATAACTTCAGAACGAAAGAACCAATTTCCACGGTTTTGCATTCGTTGGAAAGGTCTCGGGCTCCGTGACAACAAAAAATTTCAACAGAAAAGGAGGAAAAACTTTTGTCACATACAGCGCCATCATACATAACATGTACTACAAATAAATATTAAGTATTTTTAAGTAGATGGTGCCGGTGCATGATTTATTGTTTGACAGCTACTCATTGTTCTCTTCTCAGTTAATTTCCTGTGACAAACCGGTGTTGTGTTTGTAGTTTGAACTCTCAAAAACAATTTAGTATTTTGCCGGATAAATTTAGAAAATCATTGTTTTTACATGGGCAGTTATATTTTGCGTGTTCACGAGTTTGGAAACCATACGCTTTATTTGTGTTAAAGTTAGACCAAAAAACAAAAAATGTGGTTTACAAAGGACCACTACAATGAAACGGATAATTTGCGGACACGTATAACGCTTCGATTCGGTATCTACTTTGGATTCACTTTCATTTACTTAGAGAAGTTCAACTAAATAACACTTCATTTTTGTAATCAAAATGAATTCATTACTGTTGTGAAACGAAATAAAAATTTTCCTTTTCAAATATAAAACAAAAAAATCTTCATCTTTTAATCACCAAACGAAATGTTATACAAAAGCCTTCTGGTGGCGAAACGGAGTTCGCCGGGTTTACTAGTATATGATAAAAGTTTTATTTCTAATGTTTGTCAGTGCGCGTCATTTCAACCGTAGTTTCGTTCTAACAGCACACCTCTGCTGATTCACAGGCGGCTCGTGGCTTTCATCAGATACAAGTTACTATTAAAAGAATATCACGTTCACTAACCTTAAACAAATTAAAAATATATATATTAAAAACACCCCACCTTTAGTTTGTTTTTTTTTTATAGGTTTTAAAGTAAGAACCTAATTCTTTTTTTTTAAACTTCAAAAAAAAACAATTTTTGTAATAGTATCTGTGGTCACTATTATTATATAACGTCAAGTATAGTTTGATTATAAATAAATACATAACAACAGGTCGGTGGAACACGTATCTATTTTAAATATAAATCGTACATCCAAAGAAGCGTCCAGATGCGCGGAAAAGCTTCCAAATGAAATAAAACATGAACGCAGTAATTAAAACAACATCAGCTGGCATCTGGGCGCGTGACGTCACGACGCCATTTGCATTTTTTTCCCGCCGCATGCAACGAGGATATCATCGGTTTAGTTTTATGTGTTACGGTTTACATTGTACCGCTCATATTACATAATCTGTTATTTGAATGGAGGAATATTTGAATTTAAATATATCGCATTCATGAGGAATTATAAATGAAAACTATTTTTATAATTAACTTCGTTTTTTCTTGGTATTTAACAATTATAATGTTGTACTAACAATAGGTAATATTTTAAGGAAACGAATATAGTGACACAGATAAAATAAAATGACACAGAATTTATATACTTTTACCTAAAAAAAGTTATATAGATTTTGTATAATAGTTTTGTGTTCCAATATGTATTCCGAAATTATGATCAAGTTATACGACTTTCTGGCTTTAAAATAAAATCTTATTAAAACTCTTATTATTGGACATGCTACTTAACTCTGCATTTCATAAAACATTTATTCATTAAAATTGACGTGGTTTTGTCAACATATATCATTTATTTCTTGTATTAATAAACGAAACAAATTAATAATGTTCTGTACAAAAGTTTCTTGTAATATTTTTAATTGAAAAAAGTATCACAGATTAAACAGAAAATGGTTAGTTTATAGTGGCCTAAAAAATAAGATTTTAAGTGAAATTTTTATTAAAAATATACTCCCTTACAGAGATATCTGTTCATATTCTTCTTAAGTCCGGTTCTTTGTCAATATGCGATGGAAAATGTAATGAAACCTGACGTCACGTTCGGAGAACAAAACGATAGGTTTGACTTGACGAACTTCATAAGAAGACAGAAGAAAATATACAAAGAACAAACAGCATTCGACCGGCAGTCAGAAGAATATAGAAGAAGGGGGAAAGACGACAAATCATGGATGGACCTCTTCAGCACAAAGAAGGATAGAAAGAAAATAAGGAACTTTTTGATTAGAAGAATAGAGGATCACGCTAATCAGATTGCTAACACCTTGATAACTAAATTACGATCTCTTAGACGACAAGAAGATTTTGCCTATCACGACAATATGGTCAGCGATGAGACAAGCATTCATGATTACGAGAGAAACTTAAAGAGCTTCAATAATACTGATTTACTAGAAAAAAACAGGTCAAGACGTTTACAGGACATAGTGCATAGACTACACGGACAGGAGACGCGGAGAATAGTGTTGAAACCTGAGAAGGAAATACTACTGCACTACGCACTACCGGTTAAAATGAAGATAGAGGGGTTCTTACAGCCGGCGGTAAATGGAGATAATAAATAAATAAAATACTGATATTAAAAATTATGTATTTAATTTATGATAATTATGATTATAAAATACTATACGTAATATCTTGGGGATGACAGTGTAATAAATTTAAAAACATTAACATAGAAGACACAAGTCTTCTACGGCGCCACTGACGACTGGCAGAATAAAAATGTGAGGTCGTTCCTCTCAAACATTAGCTATGTCAAAACACATTTTTTTATAATCTCACCACAAATTTCATATCAATACCATAAGCATATATCAAGAGAAAGTTCAATAAAATTCTTTTTTTTTGACTCCATTCAAAATCTCATATAAACTCTGTGTCATTGAATTTCGTAGTTACATGAAAGATGACTCAAAATCCATGAGAATTTGACAATAACATATAAGTTGTTAGACATTTTGAGGGATTAGACTCATAAGGTCCAAGGTAAGGGCCTCAATAATAATAATTTGTATTTACAAAGATAGCCATTAGTTATTTGGATTTTGAAAGCAAAACTCCGTTGTCAATTCACCACATGCAGAAAAAAAAACTGTTACACATGCTTATTTCAAGCACGAAAGCATGCTCTAATTGAGTACGTGCTGTTTACTAGTATGCGTGTCCAAGTGTTGCTTAAAATAAGCATGCTTATACGAAGCATGCTTTAAAATTTACAGGCGCGCGATTTTTAAGCATGCTACTAGCGGCGCGGGTGCAAGGAGGCGTGCTTTAAGCACGTCTAAACCCCTTTGAAACACTGTCTCCTCGTATTTCTGTAAGTAATTTAGCACTTGCTCCCATGTTCTCTCTTCTCGATATCCAATTACGGACCAAAATCATTATATTTCTTTTCTGTTTTTGGCGACCTGACATAAGCTTCTTGATGCATTGCATCGCCAGCAAAAGGTTGATCTTATTCATCTCTATACGGATAGCTGTTTGATCATCCATGACTGTTTGAACTGAAAAAGAGCGAGAAAAGCATGCTTATTTTCCGCAAATATAAACGGCTCACAGGCATGCTTGTATTGAGCATGCTTAAAATCATGCTTATTTAAAGCATGTGTAACAGTAACCTACAGTTACGTCACCCATGCCATACACGTAAGTACAACCACTACTCATAAAAAATCAAAGAATCAAAAAAACTATTAATTCTAGTATTTCGCGTGCATTGATCAATAAACGTAATTGAATCACACGCTTAATTTAACCGCTTTTAATTATGATGTAGCTGTGATAATCGATTTCATTCCGGTTGTACTGTTAACTTGACACTATCGAACACACTCTAAACGACAATGTTGGCCAACTTTATATTAGTGTGTATATTTCTTATTAATTTCGTCCACTGTACAAGTGGCGTGAGCCTCCTACAACAGCTGGAAAAAATACTTCAGGATGAAGATGATTATGATAGAATAGATAATCTACCTTATGGGAGGTTTTACCCGCCTCAGCAGTCGCGACATCGCCAAAGAAAGAAGACACTAGAGAGCTATCCTAATCTACTCAACATACAGACTTTAAATTTATATGGGAAGCAACACAAGAGAGAGAGGGAAGATGCAGACTTTGATAAGTTCCTTCGCACAGAAACTGATAGAATCTGCAAGGAGACCGGTCGATGTGGGTGCTCCCGAGGACGGTGTGGCAACAGGGCCGAGGATGAAGCAGCTGATGAGGTCGATGAACTGGTGAAACAAATAAACAAACAGCTCGCCAAAGACGATGCGCATAAAAAAAGTCACAACGAAGATAGGAACGTTAAACTAAAAGTAGACAAAGATGACGACGACGACGATGACCGGCTTAACGAGAAGACTAAACTGAGCGACGATGTTGATATAGTTGTACTAGAGCCAAATGAAATAGACGACCTTCTTAGCAAACAAGACTTCGTGGACCTCACGAGGAACAGCGTCATACTCGACACAGATACAGGTAAACTATCATCCGGACCTAAAAATACAGATCACTTGAGAGAACTCATCGCAGAAATAATGAACTCCGGACAAGCGAAAGATAAGAACGTTAGGAATGCTAATGTATCGCCAGCCGAACTCTTCAAATATTACGTCACATTAAAAAATCAAGTGGTTAATTTGGTTACATTCTATATAAAGAATAAGCAAAATAAAATTCCCATAGAAGAAAATTTAAATTTCAAGCAATTACAGAGTTTAGAGAATTTAAAAAGTAAATATCAGCAGGGGCTTATAAAAGAAAACGACGTTAAATCAGAAGTTGTCAAAATAATTTTTGGCGAGGGCAGTGGAACTAAAGTTCTTCCTCATACGAAGAACAGCCGACATATTTACATTCCTAAAAATTTTTACGAGGATATATTAAATTTAAGAGAAATTAATCTGAGATCACAGAAAAGGATTTTACCTTTAACACTGCAGCAGAAAAGTAGAATTTTAAATAAAGATAAGCCCAACATAATATCAAAGCATGTTTGGCGAAGAAATCTAAAAGATGATGATCAACATTTAGGCGTCCCATTCAATCTCGAAGTTCAAGGTCTGAGTCAAATAAATCCTAACCAATAGAATTTATTACAATACCTCGATCTCAGAATACAAATAACAAATGTTTTGTTCTACTAACAATGACGTAACCGGCAATTTTTTTTCTAAAACAACCTACCAGAATTATAAAATACATACCTTTTATAAAATTAAATAGGTTTAGTAAACAAATTATTAAAACTTTCTGATAAACAATAAAAAAGTTATTTGGCGCCCGTGATTATTTTACTTCACATTTAAATATAAAATCACAATTATAGTTTACCTACATATTAAGTTTTATTCCTTAAACAATTCCAAAAACTACAACTACGATATTCTTTTCGAACGAAAGTCAAGAACTATTATATGGGGATCTATTTTCTAATTTATTCCATATGTTTCCTGTTTCGACATAGATATAAATCAAATTAATGCTAAAATATAAATGCTAAAATCTCTTATTTACAACAGGAGCTTTTGAGATTCAACATTGTTTAAAAAAAACATGTGCTAGCAACATTTAAGGACTTTGAAGTTTTTCAGTTTCAAAACAACTCGTATCTAAAGCCGTAAAAACATTCACAGAAAAAAATTGAAGCTGTAATCTTGATTAATTATGACAGTTTACACTTGTCACTTTAATTGTTTGACCTGAGATACCCATGTAAATTCAATAAATTAAATAAAAGAAAATTAGGAGATATATTTCAGGACCTACTGTCGGATAAATAACAGTTCAATCTTATACCAGACTATAAAAGTAGTAATGGCTAACGATACGCCGGAAAGTGATTTTTCAATAGAATGTTTCCAAAACTACTCCGCTCCAGAAGTATTTGTGCAAGGTCTTGCTGGCATGGTAGATCAGACTGACGTGGAAGTTATTATAAGGGCTCAAAAAACTATGTATGTAAAACTGTCACATAAACAAATTAAAATATAAAATCAATATTAAAATCTTTGGACTTTCTTAGATGTTAGATTTGAACTATCTTTAACCATCTATCCTATTTATTCTTACTTTTAGCCTCGTTAGTCGCGTAATAACAGGTACATCTGTTGTACTGTATTATTATTCATTTCTCAAATGACATTTCAGGTTGCAACGCTTTGAAAAGACAACAGAAATGTTGACAAACTGTAATCAGCTATCGGCCAGCAGGCTCCGAGCTGCTTCCGTGGAGTTTAAGAAACACACACAACTACTACTAGACATGAAAAAGGACTTAGAATTTATATTTAAGAAAATCAGAGCAATTAAAACTAAGTTAAGGTGAGCAGCATTAAATTTTATTTTATCTTAAATGCTACAAAATTTTTGTAATCTGTTGAAATCTATTAACTTAACACTATATTCCAGCTCACAGTATCCAGAAGCTTATAAGGAAGCTCTTGCTCTAGCTGAGGCAAGTAAGAATCCCATTGAAACAGATGAATGTGTACCAACGGAAAATAAAATAGAATCAAAAATGGTGGCCACAGTGTCCACGGAGACGCTCAAACCGATTAATGATAAGAAATTAAAGAAGAAAAATGTTAAAGTCCTCGGAGAGAGAAGCGATGGAAATACTGTTGAGGCATTACGTAAAATAAAAAGCAGCTCGTCCTCGGAAACAGAGAGTGCAAGCTCTGGTGATGAAAGTAGTACGGATACTGGTTGATCAACACATAGTATAATGACGGCCTACTTCATCTATGTTTTTAAACTATACACACAAGGAGATGTTTGTTTTTCCTTAAGGCTCAATATTATTTAGATGATTTCATTTCTTTGCTAATTACTATCATATAATAATAAATGCAAGTTTGAGAAATTATTGAAATCGCAATCTGTATCAATATTACAATGAATTTATAATGAACTTGAAATATCAATGTTGTTCATGTATTAATAAATTCTACTTATAATTTTCTTTAATATGTATAAAACAATAAATTAATGTATTTGAGTGTTTCCTTTAGCTTAAGCTGTAAACTAAGTGTATAATTATTATGAATTAATGTAAAACTTGATCTCAAATTATATTAACTATATATTATTTATCTTCTAAACTTACAAAGTTATTGTATTTATAATAATATATACATAATATATCTCTTAATAAATTGTGTTTGGTGTGTATTGTCAAGTTGTGTATATGTATACAGTATTTGGTTAATTTTACCTTCACAAAATTTTTGATTTAAAATAATAAAATTGGGGTAAAATTTTATTTGATATATGTATTTATAAAGTGCAATAAAACATACATTATTGTTTTATTAGTTTTGTTTGTTCACTTCACCATACATTATTTAGAATGAAATATTTTTATTTACACTTAAAATCTTAAAGTAGCACATTTAAGAACAATGCATTGTTTATGTACATTTTTATAAAAATACACACATAAAAATTTATTATGAAAATACATATATAAGCAGTTCAACATACATTGCAGTTATAAAATACCAGCCTCCCGCCCGCATGGAGTTCGGTTATATCGCATTTCCAAGAGAACCTCTCAAGTCTGGAATAAAAACTATCCTATGTTCTTTCTCAAGGTCAACTCTATCTCTGTACCAAATTAAAATCAGTAGTTTAGGCGTGAAAGAGTAACAGACAGACAGAGTTACTTTCGCATTAATAATATTAGTAGGGATTTACACAAATAGACAGACAAAATAAGAGTTTGTCTAAAGCTATGAAGTTTTACATTACTATGACTTATGAAAAAATATATAAAATAAATATATCATAAGGAGAAAGCTCATAGAAATAATTAATTTTGACAATTTGTAATAAAGTGAACACCATACTAACTAAAAATATAAATATATTTTAATGTTTCAATTAAACAATAATAAATGGTGTCCTGGCATACAGACCAATATTAATGATTAACAATGTCTTAAAAACCAAAATCTAGATATAAACCATTATTTAATATGCCGATTTGTAAAACTAAAAGTACTAATAACATCTTTTTATATCGTAGCTGCCAAAACTATAATAAAGTTTATTCAAATATAGATATTATTCTAAAAAATGTATTCTTTTAAAAATAAAAGTTAATAAGATTAATTTATCAATTCATAGTTTGTTTTGACGTGTATAAATGTTTTGCCTTTAACTAACCGATGTAGCCATTAATTGCCTTCAATTTTGTTTAATGTGTTTTGTTACTTCTTTTTTTTTAAATTTTGTTTCATTTAATTATGTTTATGTTAGATTTTATTCATAACTGCCGAAGAAATTAATCAGAAATGATTTTATGTATGTTAGTCTTTTTTTAATTTTAATAATATGTGTCTAATTGCCGGTGGAAACTTAGCTGATATATTATGTAATCTTGTATATTCATATCCCATAAGTTTATCTTATTGTTTGTTTTTCCCTAAAATAAAATAAAATAAATAAAATATCTTCTTATAACTGGCAATTTTCCAGCTTTAGCCAGGGTCTGCCTTACATGTTGTGAATAGTTTTTGGCTAATTGTTTTTACCACCAGCCGCCTGCCTGACATCAACCCTCTTTGGGAATGCATTAATCAGTGATGTCTAAATACTCTTAGAAAGTACATACAACTCGGAAAAATCACATTGGTACTTGCCAGGATCGAACCAGCACCCTCGTGCTTGAGATGCGGGCATTTATACCACTAGGCCACCACTGACTTAATTTATATATACATATTGTCCCTTAACTAACAACACCGCTTAAGTCATTTTTACCAACTTTATAGGAGATGAAACAAAATGTTTACTTTAAACTATCTGTGTGTTTTTTTAAGTGCTACTTTAGTTAGCAGTTATATATACATAATTATTTATACATACTTATTTTGACGATTTTGGTTTGACAAATGCATAACTTCATCCAACTTTTGAATTTAAGGTGTCATTAGCTAAGGGACAATATACAGGGTGACTGGTGAATTACTATCAATATTTAAGGAGCATACTCGGTACACGATTCTCATTCGAGTTATGTAAAAAAAATAGGTACTTAATTTTTGACAAAATTTCCGTATAAATAAATAAAGTGTTGACACGTACCAAGTGTTCCAAGTGTGGAGGCGTGCTGATACAACACAACGCCGCCGCACTCGTATGTGTGAGTGAGAGTGTATACCTAATCTGTAGGGTGTTTACACGATGCGTAATTAATTACATAACTTTTGGTTAACTTTACTTAGAGGTTTATTAATATTTATGTTATATTAATTTTTATTTTGTCATATATGATCGTCACAAATCACGTCCTCAAATATCGATAGTAATTCACCAGTCACCCTGTATATAACAGTGGAACACATCTCAACAACTAATGCTAAATTCAAGACATATAGATATATGAAATAAAATTTCAATACAAAACATAGTAAATGGAAAGCTAAAGTTTCACATATATAAAGTTTTTGTGAGTCTCAATAATGTTAGAAATGGCATTTCACAATATATATGATATTCTCGACCAGCATTCTAGCTTTAAGCTTTAATGTAAATAAAACTATCATGATCACGAGGTAACACACTCATTATAAATAAATTTTCGTCCTTACAAATCTTCTCAATATAACTACCGACATTCAATGTGAATTTTCCCATATTAAAACTTACTTCACTAAGTCTTAAAACCTATACAGCGTATTGTTCTGTGTGTTTGCTAGCGTTCTCCTTAAACTTATCAATATCGGATTTATATTCCATTGCTATTTCCATCATCAATGGGTCGTCGGGGTTAGGGTTCGCGAGGAGTGTTTGTATTGATATGAGCAGGGTCTCTATAGTGATGGTTGGAAGCCAACCTTCTGTTTCTCTTGTTGGCATTTTCAACATATTCATGCAAATACGACCACCTGAAATTGAACTCTTTGTGAGCCACATTCATACATACACATATTTTCAATCAAAAATTTATTTATAAATTTAAAATATATATTACCTTTATCAATATTCGGATGATACACAGGCGTGACAAACTTAACTTGTGGAGGTTCAAACGGGTATTTGTCAGGTATGTTTATGATGAGTTCAAATAATCCTTTCTCGTAAGGAGATCCTCGCGGACCTGCCATCTTCACCTGGAGCACATCGTAAACATCCTCCTTCAAAGGATGACAAGTTATTCCCCATACAGGTTTCTCTTTCATGTTTTTTATTTCACGACTTAACCGAACGGTTCGCGCCGTCGACATTTTGACAGAATGAAATTCTTCTTTGGTTATATTTTTCTAACTAAAAATGTTCCTTTCACTAAATATATACACAAACACTAAATGAAATAAAAAGGGAAAAATATCATACTCATGATAGTGTTATTAATTTTATAGTTATGTATAATGAATATCGACAAAAAACCTTTAAATAAGTAGTTGCTAAGTACGACAATTTCAAAAACAATAAGAAACAGAATTAAAAAGTAATTGGTATACAGATTAAATATAAATACTAGCCTTTCTTTTTTATAAAATTATAAATATTAATAAATTTTATTTTACTTTTTAATTTTCATTGACTTATAAAATTATTACTTTATCTTAAAATAATTATATAAATGTAACCAAATGTATACATATCCTAAAATATTGGTGAAGAAGCGCCATCTGAGTACTTAGTACTCCGAAATAGGAACTAGAGTTTGAGAATTGAGCTGTCTACAAGTTCAAATATTTATAAGGTGTCGGTAATGCAGTGCATGAAAAAAAGATGATGAACAAATCAAAAGCCCATTGCAGTGACGGTTTTCTAGTATATTCTTAATTTATTATCAACGTGAACAGTGTAGTTGCCGTGAATTAGTATTTGTAATTGTTATTAATATATTAGTGAACATATATTAAGTTACGTCTTATTAACGCATATGCTTATTAGGTAAGTTATATTTTTTTAATCTTGTTTTAAATTTTACTAGTAGTCAGTGATTTCGGCAGGCGTGTTTCTGTTTTCATTAGGTTATTTCAGTATCGGAGAATACGATAGTGGTTAGTATTACAAAGTTTTAACTCATCATACCTAGTAGAATACATTTCAACGATCGGTCCGTACTTCTAGGAAATTCCTTGTTTAAGAAACATGTGTGATGTAAAGCATATTCTCTATAAGTGTACGGGAGAATTTTTCCAAATAAAAATACGTATTTCAGTTATAATTCTAATTTAAAATTAGAATTTCAGTTCCAATTAAGACTTATAAACTTTTAAATACAACTACACAACGAAAACAAATAATTATGAATTAAAATAATTGTTGATTAATTCTAAATATTCAAAATATCTGATTAGTAATTTTAGCCACAACTAATCTTTGGATAGCGTTGTAATATAAATATTATGGTTGTGAATACAAAACAGTAATGATTCTCATATGTTTCTACAATACATGTGTTTTAACTTTGTTTCAATAATATCAGATATTGTATGTCAATGGTATTGTATGTCTGTATTCTGTTACAATAATAACATAGACATACAATACGGATGACATAATCATTATGTTATGTAATGAAAAACTAATACTGATTTAATAATATATATCTACTTAGTGACTATGTTATGTCGGTGAACCATATTTAAAGAGCTTACTAATAAATACATATATTTGGAATTATTAAAAGAAATAAATAATAATTATTTATACATCTTGTTACTTATCATGTTTATTTTAATCATCTAAGTTATGATGTTTCTTTTTCTGCTAATCAATCTATTTTCTGACCTATGTTATTTTCAATACTAAAGATGTTAAGTAATATAATAAAATTGCATAATTATAATTGTTTTTGTAAAAAATCTATTGTTCCTATAGATTTCTATAATTATTAGTTTATTTTAAAGAATCATTGTCACAGTCTGTTTTATGTTTTCACAGTACTTAATATTTCTAATAAGAATACATTTTTTTGTTTTTCATACCCAGGTATACATGCATTATAATATGACAAAAAATAATATATCAAAATTATCATTTTCTAAAATCAAATTAAATATTGTTAATGTAAACAGATATATTATATTTAAATTTCTGTCAAAAGGACATTTTAATTTTTAATAGTTAATTTTAAAATCATATATGATAAAAATTAAACAATAAATTTAACTTTTATCTAACTTACTTTTTGGTATATTTTTATATTTTCAAATCGCTGAAAAGAAGTAAATTACTACAGATTTAGAAAAGAAATAAATAAAAAATACATAAATATAAAATATATATAAATATTTTATAGAGAAATATCATTAATATTCTGATCCTCTGATTTTATTAGCATTAATTTCTGTGTTTCTTGGAACACATCACATAATATTTAATTAAATGAATATATGTATGATTGTATATACTTTACAACAGTTTAGTATAATGCTTTAATCTTGGCAAACAAACATATATTATATGTTTAAAGGAAAAACCTTTCCATATTGCCTATTTACAATATAACATATATTTTTTACATGAAATATTATTTCAATATAATATTCAGAATTATTCACTTACCATTTTCTTTATAAAATATACCACACTCCTTTTCTTATTTGATTAGTAATATATTATGTCTCTTTAGTCTAATCAGTTTTCAATAACCCATTCTTAAGATCTTATTTTAGCTGCAAAAAATATATTATAATATAAAATTATTGTAAATCACGAAATTTCCTCGATATATTAAAGTTTTGCATTCAAATATACAATCTAAATGTACATGGCTGACTGCCAACCGTCCAGATAGTGTATCTAACTGAAAAATCTAGGTAATATTATAACGAGAATCATTATACAAAAAATACATATCCCTACTAATATTATAAATGCGAAAGTAACTCTGTCTGTCTGTTACGCTTTCACGCCTAAACCACTGAACTGATTTTAATGAAATTTAGTACAGAGATAGAGTTGACCTTGAGAAAGAACATAGGATAGTTTTTATCCCAGACTTTTGAAAGGTTCTCTTGGAAACGCGATATAACCGAACTCCACGCGGTCGAAGCTGCGGGAGGAAAGCTAGTATTAAATAAAATAACTAAAACCTTCTAGAACTTATAATAATAAATAATAATTCGCTATTGTATTAATGAAAATACTGCTTGCAATATTAACATTGCGTAATATTTTGCAATGCAATCTCATTTTATGTGTTGCTAAAATAATTATAATGAAAAAAATTAATAACTCGAGGTAATTTAATTTTTTTTATAATATATAAGCAGCCAAAAGTAAGAAAATTACGTTATTTTAATAGTTATTGTGTAATATATAAATACTTATATTATATACAGGAAAAACAATATATGTATAAGTGGATTCTCCAATATGATGAGCGTTGATAAAATATTGATAAGTTACAGAGATAGCGATTAGAAATGAATCACATGCAAACATACATTAGTAAACAAAATAAACTTATATGTAGTTTAAATAAATTTGATACATAAAATAAGCTTCGAGTCAGTTCTGACTGTAAGGATAACAAACATACAGACAGACATATACATCTGTATATATAAAAGAATGTCGTGTCAGTTACACTATTTATAACTCAAGAACGGCTGTACGGATTTGGCTGGAAAATTTTCGACGGATAGGTTGGAATCAGGAAACGGATATAGGATACTTTTGAATTCATTCGACCAAATAGTTCGCCTGGTCAGCTATACATATATATTTCTATCTCTATACATATATTAAAAGCTAGTATAATATATAATTTAAAAATAATGCATTACCACAAGCTAATCTAATGGTTTTTATATGTAATATCAAAAAAATAATCTTTTTTAGTTAATTAAAAGAATGAATCAGCAACTTTAACACCAGTAGACATTATCACATTATACGACTACACGAGTCGTTTGGCGTCACTCACTCAATAACCTACGTTAATACTGTAACGTAATTTATAAAAAACTGTTAACGCTACGTATGTAGTTACGATACACTTGTATTAAGGGTACAGTTATTGTGTTCACGTATAGACTAGATAAAAGTATTTGAAGTTTCAGAGAATAATATAAAAAAAAAACAGTATTATTTTAAAAGCACCAAAAAAAAATCTCACAAAGGAAAGCTAAGAAAAGTAATATGTGAAAATCTTTAAGAATATATTAAATACACATAAAACTATTTCTTAATAATAAAATTCAATTTATAATTTTATTAACACAGGAATATCGAGTTTGGGCCGCATCCGCGGTAATTTAATTCATGTGAGGTCATTGACATTACCGCAAAAAAAGACGAGCTAATAAAACATATATAAAACCAAATATTGTTTTGGTATATTAAGTATAAGAAGGAATAAAAAACATTTTATCTCTACAAAACCTATTCATTCAATTAGTTCCTTTGATCAGATACCTTGAAACACGCGATTATTTATATAAATTAGATTTATTGCCCATTTATAATACAAAGAAGTATTTGTGCACAAAAAAATATATCACGGTCATTGGTTGGCAACAAAACGAAATCGATCAACAGAAAATAAAATTAAAATTGGATGGAGCCTGGAGGTCATGAATATACAGGGTGACTGGTGAATTACTATCGATATTTGAGGACGTGATATTTGACGATCATATATGACAAAATAAAAATTAATATAACATAAATATTAATAAACTTCTAAGTAAAGTTAACCAAAAGTTATGTAATTAATTACGCATCGTGTGAACACCCTACAGATTAGGTATATACACACACACACACACTCGCGCGGGGCGGAGTCTTGTTGTATCAGCACGCCGTCGCACGCATTCACACTTGGAACACTTGGAACGTGTCAACACTTTATTTATTTATACGGAAATTTGGTCAAAAATTAAGTACCTATTTTTTTTACATAATTCGAATGAGAATCATGTACCGAGTATTCTCCTTAAATATTGATAGTAATTCACCAGTCACCCTGTATATGATGAACTATTGTATAAGACAGCCGTAGCAACAAGAATGAAGACGGACACATGAGATGAGATGAGATCCCTGTTATCAGTACTAGGAGCTGCTTATCAGTTACACGCAGGGTTAATGAGCTTTTTAAGTTATGATAACTGGTGAAAGGTCACAATAATTATAACCAGATATTTTTGGAAATACACAAGACACAAATCTGACATTAAACCATAGCTGAAACTGTCTAAATAACATTTATATTATTATTAAAAAATATATGAGTAGATTCTTTTAAAATTTTAACGCGCGT